AACATTATTATTATTATTATTATTCTCATTTTATTTTTGTAAATAAAATATTAACAAATAATTAGTTTAATTAGTTAATTTTAACCTTTTTTCACAATAAATAAAAACAAATTTAGACTTAGGCTTTTTCTTTTGACATTTTTAATTCTTTTTTTATTTTATTTCATAAAAACATAAAAAACACAAAAATATTTTTTCCTTTTAATTAAATTAATTAATTAGTAATTAGGCTTAATTTCATTTAAATACAAAAAAAATCAATTTCTTTTCTTAAAAGGGTCAACACCCTTAGAACGTTCCCGATTCTTCTTTCGCGCGCATTTTAATTTTAATTCCTTATTTTGGATTATTATGTAACTGCCTCCGGATGTAATAGTAATTAGGACTTTTACTGTTTTTATTTACTTTCCGTACTTATTTATCAAAACGGGTCTTTGTAATTTTTGGCGATGTATAGACCCGCGCCTTGTAACAGCGTAGGATTTATGTTTCCGCAATTTACTTTCCGCACCCCCTTAACTGCTAAACTTGCATGAAAGAATGTATTTAAATAAAAACAACTCGTAGCTCACTAATTACAAAGATAAACATTAACTGAATACAATACACAATACACACACCACTTCTAGGGTACGCCTCACTCGTTGCCTTCGAAACATGGTCGTCAAGTATAGGACGTTTTAGCAGTCGCTCTTATGTCCAAGATCCAGTTGCCTCGAAACAGTTGCCTCGAAACGGTTGCCTCGGATTAAGAAGGATCTAGGACATTAGGGTTGCTTCTAAGGTGTCCTACTATTACTTCAGTGACCACACTGTTCCGATAATCGAATTGACCCGAACACCTCCAACGATGGTGCTACCTACCTCTCAATGGTGGGATAGCACCATCTAAAGGACTCTTACACAGCTTAATTCCTTAGGGTAGGTAGATGACTCATGGGTACTTGCTCTTTTCAAAACAAACAAAATACTTTTCACACCTTACACTTTCAAAATTTTTTCAAACAATACTTCATACACTCTTGAGGACTGATACAAGAGTTACCTAGAAGTTTTCAAAAAAACTTTTTCAAAACCCACTCACACTTGAAAAGCAAACAATTTTTGAAAACATAAGAGCAAATACCTAAGAGTCCGTGGATAACCACAGATAGAAAGGGTGCTAACACCTTCCCTTTCTATAAATCTACCTTCCGAACCGAGAAACATTCTCAAAGAAGGAATTTTGCTGTGCTTTTGTCCTTTCCATGTTGGAGAATATAAAAGACGGTGGCGACTCTTGCTTACCGCGACATTTCGTGAAACCAGCTTAAAAAACAGTCAGTTCTATTTCCACCGATCACAATCCTCAATACCAAACACCCCAAGATCCATTTCCTTTCTACCCCCGTACTCAGACGACCAATGCTACAGACCAACCATGAAACTCCACCCACCGTCAACACGACTAAACTTTGAGGGTATGGGTAACCGACTATACCAAAGCGGATCTTCTAGATATGGAGATCTGACTGATTTCATGGATCCGGAACGCATTGACTTCGTTGGACCATCGACCCTGCCACATTAGGAAACGCGACGAAACCCAGCATGGGAAAGGCGAGGACGGGGATGCGGAACCGGGGGTCATTACCGGGTTCTGGAGGACCACTGATTAATCTGTTTTTTTTATGTAATACTTATGTGTGTAATCATATTTTGTAAATAAAAAGTCAATTTTGTTGATCCTATATCGAATACGTAACGCACCGCATTGAGAAAAAAAACGCGAAAATTGCCTTAGCAAATGCACTAAGGCGCCATCTCACTTGGCTTAGGGAAAACCCTAAGCACCTAGGCGCCAAGTGAGATGGCGCCTCCCCTTAAAAGATAGGTGTAGGCGCCAAGTCAGATGACTCCTCCTTTGAGGAGTCATCTGAAACATGGTTATTTGCGTAATTGTTTCCGAAATATAGTTATTTGTGATTTTTTTTTAATACATGGTTATTCCAAAAAAAAATTGAAATGAAAAGCCAAGAATGAAAGATGAATAATACAAAATAAATCTTACAACGCTCTACACATATGGACCGAAAAGAAGATAACAATGATTCTAAAAATACCACAAAATATATATATATTGCATAAACAACATTGTAAACATGAGTACTTTCAATGAGTACTTCAAATAATAATTATAACAATTCCATTGATAAAAATAGAAAGTAAATAGTTGGAGATGAACACTCCACTAATAAACACAAATTATAACCATTCTGGAAGAAAGGATTCAAAACACTATGAGGTTGTAGTACTTTTCACATTTAAAGATATATAAACAAAAGAGGCCGGGGAGTAGAAGCAAAAGAAATGAAAGTTTATTAAGACATCCACTTAGCGTTCTGTTGATGCAGTAGGGTAAATTTGGAATTTCCAGAATACTTAATCTGCTTATATGATAGATCATGGTTTAAATCTAACTTAACCACCATAAAAAACTAATTTATAAATTAAAGATGACCTGCAAACCATGATAAATTTATTTGATACTAACTTTTCTTTACGATTTTATATTTTTTAATAATTCACTTCAAATAGGTTGTATTTATAATTTACTATACATTTTTTATTTATTTTAACTCCATTGTTTTAATTAAAAATGAAATATAAATAACATTTTTTTATATACATGAGGCAGTTCAATTTATTAAAAATTATCACCCTAAGCCTAAATTTATTAACAAAAATTATTAATTAAATCAAGTAAACCAAAATCCCAAGTTAATTACATAACTCAAATTATAATCAAAAGTGTAATCTAGAATAAATTATCAAACATGATTTCTAAAGAAAGTGTGATGGAGATAATCTCCTATAAATAAATAAACAAAACAAATTATAAATAAAATTCAAAACAACGTGTTGAGTTGGTTGTTTTGGATTTCCTCTTGGCCCGTAGGTGTAGCTGTTGCAATTCCCACGGGTCGCCGTCGAAACCCTCCGTTCTCTACAATGGTGAAGATCGAAGAGCTCAACGAACCCGTGGTCAAGACCAACAGAAAGAGGAATCATGGATCAACCAGTTTCTTTGTCTTCGTTGATTATTTCTTCATCCTCATGTTCCTCGCATTCCTATGCTTCATCATTTTCGAGATTATCGGTGTTTGATTCGGCGAATTGCAGAACCTTCGCTTTTTCTTTTGAATTAGGTATCGTCTCCATCCATTTCAATCCTATTTATGTTGATATAGAGGGAAACACAAGATTAAAATCTATCGTTTTTTTTTCTTCTTGTTGAGCCAAACACAAGATTCTAGGCTTTATTTGGATATCATAAAATGAATGGAGCGGTAGAGGTGTGAAATGTAGTGGAATGAAAGCGGAACTTGTTTTGAAATTTTAGGAGGGAATTAGACAAACTATTCATTTAGCCCAAATCCAAGTCGGAGTGGAATCATTCATCTGATTTTAAATGATCCAAACAAGGGAATATCACTTCATTCCATTCCATACCACTCTGCCCCATTTGATTCCATCAATGCAAATCTATAAAGCACCAACACTTTTAAAAATAGACGTGTCGCAATGTCCAACACGTGTCGGTGCCCGACACTTGTATGACACTCGTACGACACATGTTGAAAAAGTCAAACAAGTGTTGGAAAAGTCAAACAATACGACAGATTTTGAATCAGTGTTAGATATTTATATGACACTCGTACAACCTGTGTCCAATATTCAGAGCGTAAGAAAATTGTGTTTTCCTTTTTCTCAACACACTTTATACATTTATAGACAAATTTCATGCATGATTAAAATGATTAAACATGTATTGAAGCAATGTTATTAATAAAGAATTAAAGACATTAATTTTGATTAGAGTATTTTTAACTCTTTTGATATGAGATTTTTGATATGAGATGAATAAATAAAACCCAAATACTATGACATATATAGCGGTGTCGGTGTTGTAAATTTTTGACATATCGGTGCCGGAGTGTCTGTATCTGTGTCGTGTCACGGTGTCCGTGTCTGAGTCTATCCAAGAAATCGAGGAAAATGGATGTTGAGTATCTTGTTGGTGCCATTGAGGAAAATAAAAAAGTTTTCAATTCTCTTAGTTTTCTGGAAGACACTGTTTTCTTTTAAAAGTTCTAATATTATTGATAGGTACAGGTCTTGAGTAGTCTATGTTACGTTCATTCATAGCCCAACAAGAATTAGTTAGTTAGCTAATTGGAAAATAAGGCAAGTTGCTTATAAATTGACACCTTGTCATTGTATAGACTTGAGTTTTTTTGGGAATTGGAAACGTCTAGAGTCTCTCTAATACTCTAGCAAGTCTTCTGTAATTCGAGGATTTTTCCTATTTTCTTTTCTAATACCGGTTGGTTTCTATCAAAAACTTTTACTCAATATGACAATATCAGCTTTAGGAGTTGGTATGTAGTTATCTTTGCTGGTGGTACTTTTACTATATTTATGTTTGCAATCCAAATTCAGGTGAAGTTTAATATCTAGTTACATTAATTTACTTTTTTTTCTTCCTTACTACCTCTTTCTTTGGCAGGATGGCATAGCTAGACTTCCAATTACAGATCTAATTCCAAGCTCCAAGTAGTGGCAACCGGCAAGTGTCATATTTGATCAGCGCTATATACAAACTCATCAATTTCTGTGTTGACAAACTTTTGCTATGGAATCCCAAAATTTGCGCTATTATCTTGTGTGTTACATTTGATCTTTTTGTTAACATATCATTTTTCTACTTTCATAATTCCATTATCATTTAGCTTGACAATGATAAAAAAGGATGATAGATATAATCACAACAATCGAAATACATTGCTGAAACAAAAAATTGATGGTGATAGCAGAACAATTTTCTTTTGATTTTAGTTAACTGATTCATTACTCAACTCAAAATCCCTTTTCTTGGAATGGATTTGGAAGATAGATGAAGAATGTGTGTGTGTTAATGTACTAATTTTGTTTCTGGTTGGTGGTTTGGGGTGGGATAGATGAGAAGAAGACCACAAACAATTATGTTGCATGTGAAACTTGTATTAGTTTGGTGTGGTTGCTTGAATATTGATGGCACACCAACTTTACATTTATGTGCAGCACTTTTATGGTTCATTATGATATTTTGCTTAATGAGAGAATCTTTGCTTATAATAATAGTCGAGGGAGTATATGGATTTAGGAAAGGTTTATTTAATGACTTAAAAGTGTGAGTTCAAGAGTTGCCTTGTCAGTAATGCTGAACTCTCAACCATATGATTGACAGACACTCTTGAACATACTCTTTAGGATGGTGGTTCATTTCCATACATTAACTTTACAAAAACAAATCAAATTAAAAAAAAATTATAGAATTGATTTTGACATGTTTGTTGCTCTCGAGTAGAATTGATTTTGTTTTTCAGAATTGATTTTATTTAAAGATAAAATTTGTATCTTTTAAATTTAAACATGATTCTTACACTGAAATTTACACTTATGTAAAAAATTTATCTAAACAAAAGATGTGTTCTTCTATTTCTTCTAGGAAATTTTCATAATCTGCCACCTAAAATATGTTTCTGTGTATTTTATTTGAAAATACATTAGTGAAAGTATTTTTTTTAGTGTATTTTGGGAGATATGAGCATATGGAAGATGGATTGACAAAATGTCTTTTCCTAGAAGGACAACTTTGTGCTATAAAAACCAACCAAGCAAAATTCATGAAAGAGCCAGATCCATATTGAATGTATTGACTATTCCATATGCACCTAAAAACATGTGATCTCTTAGTCACAAGGCAGCAATTACAGCTGTTATACCAAGACTTTCCTTTTAAAAGCTCTTATCTTTCATTTCCAAAAAAATAACAATTTTCATAGAACTTGACAACTCGTGACCTATTGATCACATGGTAGTAGTAGCTAGCAACTCCATTAATTGTTGCACCAACAAGACTCTATTTGATTTAATATTTGACAAGTCTAAAATTTATGCCATTTGAAACCTTATCCCTAAGTTGACTTGTGGGGAAGGGTTGAATATACTGTCTTTACACTTTGAGTAATAGTAGTCCAACTAAAAATTCAGTATGAGGCAATCTTCATAACTTTAAATACAAATACTTTTATATGGAGAAGGCACTATCAATTGAAATTGTAAGAGAAAATTGAATTATAAGGGCTACACAAAATAGAGCTTACAACATGCATAATATTTAATCTTTAAAAAGGAAATAACACTACCATGTAACAGATAGTGTACATGGAGCACTTATTCAATGGTGCAAACTGAAAATGATGAGTACTTAAACTAGTCAAAAGCATAACAAGGCTTAGAAACTAGGCCTACTTAGTACAATAGTGCATGATGGCTCATAACTGAGAAAATTTCAAGGATGAACTGCAACTGGAACTGGAACAGCACCACCGATTGGAACCTCGTTACCAGGATTTGGTACAAAGGTGTCATCACCACCTGGAACATAACCGCCACCTAGTGGCGGCGCTGATCCTGGTCCTGATTCTGATCCTGCTCCTTCTCCTCCTCCTCCGCCATTGGATGGACTTTGAGGTGTAGAACCAAACAAAGGTGGCAACCCTCCTCGCCCGAAGCCTGGAATCCCATCAAAATGGAAAAACCATTGAGGCTCTTTCTTGTCATCAGTGTTTGACTTGTTCGGAATGCTGTTGCGTGCTTGGCAAGTAGTACTAAGCACTACATTCGCAATGAGAACAAGTGCAAGGAAAGAGGAAGCTTTGTTAGCCATTTTCTTACCAAAAACTTTCGAATATTGAGATAGGTTTTTGTGTTTGAAAATGGAAGAGATTGTTGAGTATTATATAGTTCCATGTTCTGTTGAGTTTGGTATGAAATTTTGCGGTGAGTTAAGTAGCAAGGTATTGACAAAATGACTAGTATGCATGGAGCCTCATATGGTAGTTGATATTTTGTGGCTCAATGAACTGTAGTACACTGCATTCCTTGAAATGGTTACTGTTATTTTGGTTTCACTTTTATTACCTGCTATTTGTGGAAGAGTCTCTCACCATTGTTATAGCGGCTACTAAATGTAGCCTTCATATGGCTTTGTTTTGTACCAACTACTTGCAGTAAAAAACTATGAATTGCTTCTAGATTCATTATTAATGTTGGTCGCATTTTTGTTGTTTTGTTGACCTTAATTAATCGTCGTTTAGTACAAGTAATTAACGAATAAATAAAAAAGTCCTTGAATTTGTTGTGTTGCTATAGGCATTACAACATAGAGTTCCAACTGAATAAACAGATTTCAAGAGTTAGGCTTTTCTTCAGAAAATCTAGGAAGTTGTACCAGTGAGTTTACTCGCGTGACACCCTCTAGACCTAACCAGTTTTGATCTGCTGCTGATGATGTTCCATCTTCAACATCAATAGATTCTCCTCCTCCTATTCCAAATGTCTCGTTTTCTTCTGAGGTTCTCACTGTGAAGTTTCTTCGCAAAGAAGGCTCGGATTTCTTACCATTGTCCGACTCAACTGGATTACCTGAATGATTGTAGCTCTGGGTTGTTGCAGAAGAATAGCATTGTTCATCTCCATCAGATTCTTCTAAGTCCATTTTTCCATCCAAAAATAGGCACACAACAGCACAATCATCCATTTTCGAAGTTGGATATTTGAGTTTCCACTCTCGTGCCGCGGATTCCACCAGAACCCTTGCTGCAGACGTTCGACTCGGTGCTGATGATACTATGTCCACCACCTCTTCATTGCTCAAAACATCCCATACCTACACATACACCAACAGAAAATAAAAGGTTTGAAATCTAACACAAAACATCTGAAAAGTGTCATTCTTCATTACTGATATTGAAATTTCTTACCCCGTCTGAGGCAAGAACAATGAACTGGTCTTTATCAGTGAGAAGCCGGTGCGTAAATTCCGGTACAGAAATCACACCGTAATCCTTCAAGCAAAAATCTCCAAATGCTCTAGCCATTGCTAATCCAGGTGCATTATCAAAAGGTAACCATACCCTAGGAACTTCTGGCTCATCTTGCAATGCAAATACCCTACCCTTGCAACTTTTAATTCTTTCCTCTTCTCCTACAAGAATATTTCATATCGAAATTCGAATAAGTTACCAACAAGCTAAAAAAACATAAAGAAAGAACTACAATTTCATATGACTTACTTGGCAAATCAGGTTTTAAATCAACTGTCAGCTGAATCGCTACCATCAAGTCATTGCTATCTTTGGATCCCATGATTGCTCTCGAATCACCAATATTTCCCATGAACAAATTTGATCCCTGAAAAGCGGAGAAAATAACGGTTTATAGATATTATTGTAAACTAGACAGTAATATCTCAACACCGTATGTTCTTTTTCTGCGTTTATCGTATCTTTCACCTACTTGTTTCACTACACTCACTGCTGTGCTTCCACTACAGAAACAGTCCAAATTTGCATGAGACTTCAGCTCTTTGTCCATAGCTTTGTATGCCTTCAAGAAAGCTTCTCTCCACATAGAATTCACCTCATTCTCAGCAGAGAAATCATTCTCAGCCTCTCCACTTTCAGGCTTTACATCCCTCTTGAAACAAGCTTTACCGAATTCAGAAGAATGCAAAAATGAAAGCAGTTTCACCGGTAATGAATCTCTAACTCTGCGCGCGACAAGGTGACCGTGTGGACCGTGGCCGTCAAAAACACCACAAAATATCACATCTTCTGACCCAAAATCCTAAACAAAACAAAGATCAAAACTAAGATGTTAATTGTTAAGTCGTTTTTCATTTTATGAGAATCAAATATCATCAACCATAACACGAACATACTTACTTCCCATACAATCATGGCATCCTGATTAACACCCTTACGCCCCTGCTGCGTAAATATACAAGAAGACCGACTCTTTCCATTCGCGAATATTCTGTTCGGCAAAGAAGACAACTTATGCAGAGAAACAACATGATCAGAGAATGTTTTCCTTTCCCTCTTCTGACAACATAGTCCCAATTCTAAGCAAGACGAAGACCCCGCCTCGCCATTGCTTCTATAGCTTGTTGAGACACAACACCCCATTTTCTCAGTAGATAAATATCATGCTATGTTTCTAACTTCTGTCCTATAGATCTCACTCGAAACCCGAGATTCAAAGTTCAGACAAATTGAGTAAACAATCCTGATTCCAAAGATCCTCTCAACTCACAACTTGTTTCTGTTGGAAACTAGCGCCTTTTTTACTCTGTCAAATGCGCGATTTTCCCGAAACTACATGAGTGGATAAGTAAACCGGCTGAACGTAAGAAACACATGAATTTAGTATATAATATTACATGGTCTGCAAGAATCAAACAAATTACAAGATAATGAAAGACTCAATAATGTGAAATATAATAGTCTTAAAACATGTGAACATGAAATAGAATATACTAAAAACTTGTCTTATTATTTGTCCTTCCCCAGAATTCACATTGACCTCGTCGAAATCAAGAGTTTGACATAAAATTAAGTTAAATCAAACCCGGGAACTGTGCAGTAAAACATTCAAGAACACAAAGACAGATCTTTATGGAATCCAAGATCAAATGAACATCTAGAAATGAGAAAAAATAAAAGTAGCATATAGCAAGAACAAACAAGTAGTACAGAATAATCATAATTCATGAGTATAATAAACAAAAAAAGAGATAAAGGGAAAAACGCAAAAGAAGAAAAAGACAGAAAGAAAAGGTTTGATATGATATCATAACAAAGAATCAAAAAGGTGGTACCACACAAATAGCATTGGTGGATTAATCAAGTAGTAAATGTTACGTAATCATCATACTAACTAACAAGTAGTAAAAGATAACAACAAAATTTGCAACAGTATACTACAAATGAGTGAGAAAAAATAAAAATAAAATTATAATAACATATAAGATCAGATCAAGTGAAAAGGAGACATGCGTGTTGAACATGCAGATCTTGTTCCTTGAGAGTGTTGTGTCATGTTAAGTATGTATATAATATATGTTGTGTAGAAGAAACTAAGGATATGATGGTTCAAAAATGGAAAAATTAAGGTGAAGATGGAGTAGTGGAAGTACATTGATCACCTTTGATAGAAAAAAAAAACGTAGGAAAGAGGTTGAGGTTGAGAGAATGGGAGCAGAGAGACAGAGAAGTGATAGAAAAAGAGTTAATAATGTGTGGAAGAAAATGGTGTGAAGTTATTAATTGTAAAAGCAGAGGAGACAGCAGAGCAAGAAAGACAGAACTAAAGGAGAAAAACTAATTAATACTCCTCTGTCTGTCATATAATAATGTTGACTCAGAGGCGGAGCCAAACAAAAAATTCCATTAAATAAATTAAAAATTATAAATAATTATAAATTTTTTATGTAAAATATTTAAAGTTTAATTAAATTTAATAAAATATTAACAAAACATAATTATATATTCGTAACAATCGTGATAAAAACATTAATTTTTTATTTATTGTTAAACAATTTATTAAGATAACAATTCTCAAGAATAAAAATACATAATTTTAACACTAAAATAAACATTTTAAAGTTATTGTTCTGGACTGGGCCCGACAAGCCCAAAAGCATTACTAAGGCCCAGTCCAAAGGGACTCACTAAGGACCACACTGGGCAAAGGGGGTCACGTCCATGCCCGACACCCTGATGTCCACCTCGACATCTCGGTGCCCAGCCCCACGATGAAGTCCTGCTCGACAGCATGCCGTCCAGCTCTATGTCCTGGCTTCCAGCTCGACACTCGTCGTCCAGCTCGAGGTCTTGGCGTCGAGCTCGGCACCGTGCTGCGCAGCTCGACATGGTCACGAGCTAACTTGCTAGGGCAGACTTAGTCCTCCATTGCCCCAACGATACTCCGGAAAGACCGCGTCTCCGTCCGCCCGCATTTCATGCAGCATATCCAGGAAGGGGACCACGTGCTGGTCCCCACTACCCACGTAGAACCTGGCAGTTCCTCCATTGGGCCAAATCCTCCCAGCCCAATGAAGGAACCTTGGCCCAGCGCTGGGGGCTATAAATACCCTCTGCTTCCAGAGGGTCAGGTATTGATCATTCTAACCTCAACTCTATTATCTGCTCGTACTCCCACTGACTTTAGCATCGGAGTGCCTTGCAGGTACCCCCCCCCCTCCTCGTTCAAAAAGCCTTCAGCTCGGAGTAAGCCGTGACGGTCCCAACCTTCTGATCAGGTCAGATCAGTGGCGCCGTCTGTGGGAAACAGCTTCCCCGTCTAACGAACAGTTTCAAAGACCAAAGCTCAATCCATTCACTGTCATGGCCTCTCCAACTCGTGAAGAACAACACACCCGCGTCCTCGACGCCAACAACGGTCCCGCGGACAAGAATGGGCAGCTGGACATTCCCAGTGGTGCCGGCCACAATACCGTCCCCGTGACAACCGCCCCTGGACCTTCCACCCGCAGGGACGGGAACACTGCGTCCTCCTCGACAACTCCTCCAAGACTCGAGGACGACCCGGAGGCTCTCGCCTATCGCCAAGCTGCCCGGTTCTATGAAGTCCAAGTCCCTGCCGGGGCAGATGCCACGACTCAGGCACTGTTCGCGGCCATCAACCAGACGAACTATCTCCTGTTCGCCCAAGGAGAAAGACTAAGGGCACTTGAACATGATCGACGCCCCCCGAGGAGACATCAAAGGCCACCATCTCCACCTCCTCGGGTCGAAGAAGTTCGACACCCTACTCCCCCGCGGAGACATCACAGGGAGAACTCTAGGAGCCCCTCTCCCCCACCAAGGCAGAGGCGGCCCCAGTATGAAAGACAGCCCGTCATCCCTGCTGAAGAGCCCAGTCGCGACCCATCAAGGCACGACAGGAGGCACAACAGAGACGGGCGTGTGACCTTCAACCACCGAGCATCACGCTCGAGGGAGTCTCAGCACGACCAGCGTGCCAGACATCACTACAGGACCCCTTCTCTTTCTCCAGAAAGGAGCGACGAGGACGACCCCCGCGGTCCCCTGTCGCAGGCAATCATGGACGCACCTATCCCCCCGGGCATGGAGAAGCCCCCACACCTAAAGGAGTATGATGGAGTGGCGGACCCAGTCGACCACATTGACGGGTTCGAAGCCATGCTCCACTATCACAATGTCGGGGGGCCCATCAAGTGCCGTCTCTTCCCAACAACTCTCAGGAAGGCGGCCATGGACTGGTACAAAGGACTTGCCCCGGGCTCCATCACCTCGTGGCGGAACTTGAAAAACCAGTTCATCAGTTCCTTCACAGCGTCTCGTCGCCACCCAAAGACCGAGGCAGCCCTCGAGGCCATCATCCAAAGACATGATGAGACCTTGAGGGAATTCATCAACCGCTTCAACCGGGAAGCAATCCAGGTCCCCTGCGCGGACCATATGAAGAGGTACTTGCTGGAGAGGGGCCTCCTCCCCGGCACAGAATTCAGGAAAGCTGTGGGCATTGAGCCACCTGCAACTTTTGATGCTCTCCTCGACAAAGCCCGAGCATATATGGACTACGAGGAGAGAGAAGCTGCCAACAGGGCACGAGACTCCAGGGCTCGCAATCATGGCAGCAGCTCGAGACAAGACCCTCCTCCCCGACGCACCAGAGAGAAGAGGAAGGAAGACAGACCCCGGGAGGTCCGGGAACAAAGGGGCCCCTCGGGCAGGTTTACTGAGTACACTCCGCTCACGGCTTCCCGCGAGCGTATTCTGGCGGAGTGTGCAAGCACAGATTTTAAAGACGGTGGCGTCAAGCGTCCCCGACCAGCTCCTGCCAAGCCAGGAGTAGACAAAAACAAATACTGTCAGTACCATAGGAGTCATGGTCACTTGACAGAGGACTGCGTCCACCTGAAGGACGCCATTGAAACCCTTATCAAAGGGGGAAGACTGGCACAGTACAGGAGAAACGACGCTCCCCGTCGTGAAGCCCGCGAGGCAAAGGAGCCCGAAGAAGATGCACGACCATCTGACGAGTCGGTGCCAATCCAGACCGCCTTCTCGGTAACCAGGCCCGAGGATTTCGAACTTCCCGAGCTCCTGCAGGAGCCCCTGACGACACACAGCAGGTGGGAATACTTCCCCTCCGCCATGGTCATCAACGGGGGCGGGTTCAACGACCTCACCATCAACTCAGCCAAGAGGAAGTTGGACGAACTGGTCGACAAAGCTCCTCCCCAAACTGTGACTTTTGAAATGGTGAGGGGCAGGTCAGAGCCTATCACATTCTACTTGGAAGAGCTCCCCGGCGGAGCACCGAACGCAGTCATCCCCTTGCTGATAAGGGCAAAGATGGCCAATTTTGACGTGCATCGCATCCTGGTCGACGAAGGGAGTTCCGTCGACGTGATGTACACCCAGCTGTTCCGGACCTTACAACTGGACGACTCCCATCTGTCTCCATATATAGGTTCGGACCTTCAAGGCTTCAACGGTTCGACGTCCAAACCTTGGGGATATGTCGAGCTCCTCGTGACATTCGGGGAAGGAACTGCTACAAGACAAGTGAAGGTCCGCTTCCTCGTCATTGACTGCCCGTCCCTGTACAATTGCATCTTGGGGAGGCCGACATTGGCAGAGCTGACAGCGGTTCCCTCAACTGTCCATCTCAAAATGAAGTTCTACACCAAACGGGCAAGGGTAGCCACCATCCAGGGCGACCTCGCTGCTGCCCGCAGGTGCTTCAACGCCGCTTCAAGGGGTCGGGATACTGTCGACGTGGGTCCCAGCACTAGGCCCATCAAGAAGACAAAGCAAGAGCCCGACAGAGCATCTCCTGAGGTAGAAGTTCAGAAGGCTCCACCAAAGGTCGACTCCATTGCGCTCGACGCCCGTTTTGACCAAGACGAGCCGGCCAGTAACGAGCAAATTCCCCTCCGACCTATTCCGGACGGCGATTTCGAACTCGTTCCCCTCGGAGCAGACCCGACCAAGGGAGTGAAGATTGGCAAGGACCTCCCCGACTTGGCCAGGAAGCAAATCAAGGCCTGTCTGCGCGAGAATGCTGATCTCTTCGCCTGGAGCGCTGCAGAGATGCCCGGACTCGACCCTGAGGTCGCCTGTCATCACCTCGC